TCGAGTCCGACTCTAGGGTTGCGGTGCTCATCTCCGTTTCAAAGCCGAAGAGCCAGCGCTGTCCGAAGACGTTTCCGTGGTCATGTGGCCAGCATGACTAAACACCAAGGCGCACGGGACGCTGTTACCTTCCCACCGAAGTGGTACCTATTTATCTACTTGCAATTTCTTGCTTTCGAACTGCTAGGTTGGCAGGAGAGGTGAATTGAATACCAGGAGGCTGAAGTTGGTTCCTTATTCCCAGTTCCTTTTTCGTTCCTTATTCGCATATTATTCCTCTAGGTGAATTGCCCTCTGACAGCCATAGAGGCAGGGCTGGCCCCAGCTTATCTGGCACCCTAGGCAAGGATCCCTTCTGGCGCCCCCCCCCCCCGTGCGCCCACCAATTTTCAAAAATAAATGCATTTTAGGAAGAATGAAAAACACAAATAATCAAGAAACTTCCAGAGTACGGGGCCAGGTTCAGTTTGGCGCCCCTAAGGGTCGTCCCACTGTAGGCGATCGCCTAGTTCGCCTAGTGAGTGAGCCGGCCCTGCATAGAAGTTTCCCTCGGATGACCGCGGCCCCGCCCCCAACGCGCCCGACGCGACTGCGTCACTTCTGGGTGACGTGCTGACGCTGGGCATGTTGCGTGCTTTGGGGGTGGGGTTCCCCCTGGGGCCCAATCCGCCACTGCCGGCTAAGGGGCCTCTCGGGCGGGGGTTTCCCCGCCCCCCGGGGGGACTTGGCAAGCCTACATGATGCTGACATTCTACACCCATGTTCCAATTAAGTTACTTAGCACATTGCAGCTTTGCATCCTGACTTATTTCCTCTTAACAGTCCTCCCATCCTTTTATCTGGATATAACAACTCAAAAGATTTCCACCCCAGGGGGCACCACATGTCATGCACCCCCTGGTTCAGGGGACCCTTCCCTACAAGAGGGCATATGCTGCTTCCTGGTCCACAGTCCAGTTCTTGTGCCTCCGAAGCGAGGTGCACCCAGGACAATCACACAGGCAGACACTGGGGCCAGGCTGCACCCCCCCCCCAATCTTCGGACAATCAGAAAATTGTACATGGTCAGAATACAGCTTCTCATAATGAAATGTTACAGTATAACATCCCAGATCCCTAGTTTGTGTTGTCTTATGTATACTAGGTCCAGCTGGCACAAGAACTGCGCTTTGGACCAGGACAGAGCATATATCCCCTCGAAGGGGAGAGTCCGCTGATCATGAGGGTGTATGAAGTGTGGTGGGCCAAACCTTATTTTGGGGTGTAAAGGTCAACCAGTTCCTTATTCAAATTTCCTTAGAAATAGAGGCCTCTTGGAGGCACTCAAAATAGAAGCTTGTGGTGACAGAACCAGTGTTTGGACCGGGCATCACTTTATGTCATCTTGCAGGGGACAGTCTCCATAGTGTGGTGATGTGTCATTTGGGGTGGTCCAAAGACTTTGGGGGGGGGGTCCAGCCTGACCCCAATGTCTGCCCCTGTGTGATTGTCCTAGGGGCACCCTACTTTGGAGCAGCTGGCACAAGAACCGTTCCGTGGAGCAGGGAACAGGACATATCCTCTTGAAGGGGAGAGTCCTATAAACCTGGCAGTATATGATATGTGGTGGTCCCCTGACCTTATTTTGGGGTTCAGAGCTTTCACTCTCCTCAGTGTTTTTGGATGAATTCATGAATAAAATGTGAATAAGGAATGAATAAGGAACTGGGAAGAAGGAACCAGCTTCAGCCTCCTATTGATACCTGTCGTCTGGAGATCAGTTATAGTTCAATTAGATCTCTAGGCCTTACCTGCAGGTTGGTGTTTAACTCTTTGGCCAGAATCAGTCAAGCCAGCAGCACAGGTGAGAAGATCTGGAGATTGATGTGGAGAAAAGTATAGTGCATATTTCTTTCCAGGCCCAAGCAAAAGAGAAATCAGTAAGCACACTGGCAACAGGAGGAGGAACTGCAGGATGTGCAGGGGAAGTGTAGGCCCTGCATGTGTTAAGTGAGTACTTCGGGCTTTCTTTTGTTTTACTGGGCATCAACATTCTTTTGAAGCGGACTGAAGAACGTGTATTTACAAAGGCTGCTATCTTCATAGCACTTAGATCTCAGTATATATGTGGCTAACTGTCTCCGCATAGATTATTTGCCTCAGGTTTAATGCTGCTGAATAGTGGATTTTTTCCCTGCTTCTCTGCAAAATGGGGGCTTATTCATGCAGATTCTGGGTTTCTTCCAGTTTTCCTGTGATCTTTCCCAAACCAGCTTTGCTGCAAAGTTTTGGGAAAAACCATAGCAAAGACTGGATGGGGCTGGTGTGTGGGTGGGACAGTTTGGATTCAGGGATCTCAGCCATGTGGCAGCCATTTTCTATGACACTGTTCCTTGTGGGTGCCATTTCCTTCTTGTTACCAGGGACTTTTAAAACAAATCGCCAATAAATATTGTTATAACCATCTATGTCAAACCATCTGTGTCAGGTTCGCCCATTTTGTTGCAGAGATCTAAAAGGAAAGGCATACTTCTGCAATAAGGGGAGATAGAGATTTTAAAAATTAAATTTGGGAATTGAGAGAACCTGATACATCAAATGTTATAAAGTTATAATGATATTTCATTCCTGTTTCTGACTTTTAAAAATCTGAGCAGCCCTGGTGGCATGGGGGGGGGGGGGCGGCGGCAGCTGCCGCCAAGGGACTGAGGCAGGGAGGGAAACGGCAGGGAATCCTGCCACATGGAAGCCCCATTACTGCTTCATTTTGTTATATGGTTGCCATCTGCCAGGGAAACAGAGCAGGGCTTGAGGAAAGCTTCAGTAGTAGTGGGGAAACCACACATGCCTGTCCCCCTGAAATACTGTTGTTGTTGTCCATCAAGTATATTGTGTAAAAATTATCTTGAAAACCCTCAATTTTTGACATTTTCCTTAAAACTACTTTGTGAAGAAATGCATTTTTTTCTTTCCTAGATCCAAATTTTATTGCTGTGATATTAAAGGGATAGGCAAACATATCTTGATGGGTCCAGATCTGTTGTTCAGGCTCTGATTGTTCAGATCAGTTTTACTCTGTGTTTCTCTGCATCTTTCTTCAGATGCTGATTTTTTTTTTGTATTTTTGTTTGCTTAAACTGTACGTTTGCATTATTTTTTTTTAACTGCTTTGAGTTCCTAGACTCAAGAAAAGCAGGGTATAAATGGCTAAATAAATAAATTAAAGGAACGCTATTATAAGAAAACAGCAGCTATATTATTAAACAGTTCATTTTTTGAGAAGCAAAAGGTGAAAGTTGTTCATACAATCATGTACCCTCTGCATTTGATCCCTATCTTCTATTATAAAAAGTTTGAATACAATATCATGTTATGATTATGGTACAGACTTGCACTTTACTTTTAGCCCTAAATTATATCTTGATAAAAACCAGACAAAACTACAAATTAGAGCATGCAATTTGTTATGTATTGACTTGAATGTAAATACTGACATGCGAATCGTCTCATTGAAACTCTATGTTAAGCTTCAGCCTGGGCTAGGATCCTAATGTAACCAATAGGAGTCCTAGCCCAGAGAGTGTCTACCAATCACGCTGTAAAGCGGGACCGCTTGTGATTGGGCATTATATCTTCAACCTCATAGGTTGTTATTTGTACAGGGGGTGTGGCTACACTAGCCGGGAATGTTTAAATACAGAGCAGCCAGTGCTTGTCCTTTGGCTCGAGTGGTTCGAATGATGGTTCTGGCTGGCGATCGTAACTAAGCTGAAGAATAAACCGCAATTCTTGCTGAATCACTCTCCGACTCTTTGTTAAGCACACGACTTAACACAATGATTATTTATTGGCATATGAGAGTAAAAATACTTATTTATAAGTCAGCAGTAAAGAGGCTAGTTTATCAATCTTGTGAGATAGAATCTTGAAATAATTTTTTTGCAGATACAAACATTTAAAAAATAAAATACGTCCTATGTATCTTACAGTTTGTATTGTACCACCTGCCCCGCTAGGGTGAACAAAGGAATATAGGCTCCTGGGGCTTTAAAAAGATGTGCAGATGTACAGCACAGGAGATTTCGATAGTAAAATACAGAGCAGCCAGTGCGTGTCCTTTGGCTCGAGTGGTTCGAATGATGGTTCTGTCTGGCGATCGTAACTAAGCTGAAGAATAAACCGCAATTCTTGCTGAATCACTCTCCGACTCTTTGTTAAGCACACGACTTAACACAATGATTATTTATTGGCATATGAGAGTAAAAATACTTATTTATAAGTCAGCAGTAAAGAGGCTAGTTTATCAATCTTGTGAGATAGAATCTTGAAATAATTTTTTTGCAGATACAAACATTTAAAAAATAAAATACGTCCTATGTATCTTACAGTTTGTATTGTACCACCTGCCCCGCTAGGGTGAACAAAGGAATATAGGCTCCTGGGGCTTTAAAAAGATGTGCAGATGTACAGCACAGGAGATTTCGATAGTTATGCTGGGATGAAAAATGCTACATCTGCTGAAATATCCTTTTGTATGTAGGTATTAAAGGTACGAGAAGTCCCATACTGCACTGCTTTGCATCTGCTTCACATTTTCCATGCTATAACAAGTCAGTTTTGTTACAACAAACCAAATCTTCTCCTCAGTGTGTAATCCCAGCAGAACTGGAAGCCATCTTATGCTGGAGCCATTTTACCAGGGCCATAAGAAGGGACTTCCAAGATCACTATTAGACACATGCCGCAGTGCTGCATAGCATGAGTGGCAGGGGTGGTGGATAGGCTTACAAACGTGTGAGGGGACACAGAGGGGATGGCAGCCCTACCAGAAGCTCTGGGCCCCAGCAACTGCCCCACAACAGGATATGCTGGCATCACCCCTGTCTTTCAGGTGTAGAGTTACCAGGTCCTGGAGCTTTGGGGGGTGGAGCCTGGGGAGGACAGGGACCTCAGTGGGACACAATGCCATAGAGTCCACCCTCCAAAGCATCCCTTTTCTCCAGGGGAACTGGTCTCTGCAGTCTGGAGATGAGCTGTCGTTCTAGGGGACCCCAGGTCCCACCTGGAGGTTGGCATCCCTGTCCAGGTATATTGAAGTATTTCAGGGATACAAACGTTCAAACTGGACAGATGTCCCTTTAATAGCAGTTTGGTCAGAAGCAGGGAGGCATGCTTAACTTAATGCCCTGAAAAACTGAATGAGCTGATTTTTTTTCATATCAAATCTGTTAGAATTGCAAGGAACAGACCAAGCTGGGTTATTTGTGTTTTGCCTGGCCAGTTGGCAACCCTATTCAGTGATGTATATGCACATTTTAGAAAAATGCAGGAATCCTTAAAGCACTTCATGAATCAGAATTTTACGATGATGTTTTAGCCATGCTTTTATTTGCAATAAAGCAATCGAAATGAGCTATGATATATACTAAACTTTCTAGCTTACATTCGGTTCAGTGTAACTGGCTGGATTCATTTCAGAGAAGCAAACTCCTTTCTTTAGAATGGCATCTCTAAAAAGCGCAACCCTAACACATTTACTCAAAAGTAAAATCTCACATTGTTCAGTGGAACATGCTACCTCGAAAATGTTTTTAGGTTGGTGGCCTACACTGCAATCATATTCATGTTTACTTGGAAGTAATCCCCCACTAAAATAAATGGAGCTGCTTACTACCAGGTCAGAGTGCTTAAGAGAGCAGCCTTCTTCAAATCCAGGGAGACTTACTTCTAGTAAATATGTACACTGATAGTTATTTCACAGCATAACCAATTATATGTGGCTGAATGGGCGTCCACTGTAAAGGGACATGTATGTGTTGCAGCTTTATTTCTGAGAAGCTGGCCTTTTCAATGTCAGCCCAGGTCTCTCTTGTTAGGTAGCACCCATCAAACAGAAGTTTCCATGTCGGAGAGTAGATTCGTTGCCAAAAAAAACTCCAGCTTGAATGATCTGCAGTGACATGCTCCAGGAAATAAAAAGCTCCACCCTGAGGAAAACAACAGAACGTTTGAACCAAAATAATGCAGGGTGTTCTGTGCATGATATCATCATTAGGTGTGCTGGCAAATTGTGCTTATGAGACCTTTCTGTTCCCCCAGAAGTCCCCCCCCCTTGCATAAATACCAGAAGCGCAAATCTGAGGAGTATCTACTAACTGCTCCTGTCTGCCAGTATGTATCTGGCTGCCTTTCACTAACAAACACTCTTCTGGCCATTGTTGGCTGAGCGCCTGGAATAACCGGGCACTGAAGGAGTAGGAAAGTTACAAAACATGTTGACAGTTAAGATAGTAGCCACGAGAGAAATGGAAAGCTTGCTGATCTGAGGGGGGGTCAAGAGGGATTACGTGTATGAAGTGGAAAATAAGGGGCGTTAAAGCCAGAAGGGTGGCACTAGCGGCACACCAAGGGCAGGGCAGAGGGGTGCAGTCCATTTCTGGGCACAGCTTGAGGAAGGCCCTTGAGGGGGGCCCTTGAAGCCAGCATTATGCTGCATCCAGCCGAATGTCTTTCCTATTATTTTTAAAAGGTAGTTCTGGCTACAGCCACTCGGGCACAGGGAAGTCTGAGCATAGCAAAAAGGCTAAATTTCCCTTGCTCCAAGACTATGTGAACTGAGGCAAACTTGCTTAACAACAACCGAGCCAGCATGCTGATAGCTGCTTCAGTAACTGCCAGCCGGCAGATCATTTTCTCCAATATTCTAGCCTTTCTCTCTCCCTTTCCTTGCACCCGGCTCAGCCAGATCTTGCAAAGCAGTAGTTAGCATGTTCAGCAAAATAAAACCTTTCCCTGTCTTAGTTTCTCTCCTTTTCCATACATTTCTCATTAATTTCTGTCTCCCTTTACCTAATTTTTCCATGTCTTCCTCCACCTTTATTTTCACTTTTTGGTCTCAAGACCTTCTCGTCCCTATCCTGCTTGGTGACAGAATGTATTTAAGAGTAGTATAGTAGCAAATCTTTGTTAATATTATGAACAGAAGGCACTGGGTTTGTTGGGCACTGTACATTGCACTGGTTCTGCTGGGCTGTGATTCTGTGCTTGACATCAGCAGGCATTGCTGCAATGGCATTGGGTTCTGCTGGGCACCCTGTGATTGCACTGGTATTGCTGGGTACTCTGTACATTGCACTGGTTCTGCTGGGCTTGCAAAATGCCTCCCCTTCCATTTCTACTGCAGATTCTCTGGTTTGACTTTAATCCTTTGGAAAGAATGGAGGATGGGGGCACCTTCTTTGAGGGGTAGTGTGTTTCTTAACATCCAGTGTGGTGAAGCTTGTGATCATTATTTTGTGATGCTTTGTCTAGTATTAGTTAGTAAAAATTAGTACAAAGGAAGAGTCCTAGCTCTCAAAAATGCATTGTAGATGCTTGGGACAGTCAGCTCTTGGGCTTCAAAATGGAAAACAGAAGGCCTCCTGAATGCCTGCTTAGAACACCAGTGGTGTGATGGAATATATATATATTTGCCGTCAAGTCACAGCTGACATGGCAACCCTGTAGGATTTTCAAGGCAAGATACGTTTGGAGGTGGTTTGCCATTGCCTGCCTCCATGTTGGTCCTGCTTAGCTTTTGAGATCTGACAAGATCAGGCTACCCTGGGGCTGTCCAGGTCAGGGCTAGGCTAAGAGTAATGTGACTGCCCAGCAAGCCTCTATGGCACGAGTGGGGATTCGAACCTGGATTCCCCAGATCCTAGTCTGACACTTTAATGGCTACACCACACTGGCTCTCATGATGGAATAGCATGTTGTAATTTGATTTTTGTTTTGTTTTGTTACTGGCATGATTACATATACAAAGGTAAATAAAATTTTCACTGTCTGTGTTTCTTTTCTGGCAGCTATTATTATTTGTTTTATTTCATGATTATAACTGAACATAATTTTGTCATATTGTGGAGGGGGCCCCAACCTGGATAGCCCCAGCCAAGCCTGATCTCGTCTGATCTCAGAGGCTAAGCAGGGCCAACGTGGAGGCTGGCAAGGGCAAACCACCTCTGAACGTCGCTTGCCTTGAAAACCCCCAGGGGTCACCATTCGTCAAATCACGTGACTCTTAGGGTGAGATGGGATAATAATTGGTTGTCTCCATGTGCCCCATGCATCCCCATTCCATGCCTCATATTTATATCCCACTTTTCCTCTGAGAAACTCAGGGCAACATGTTGAAAGCTGGCATGGCATTGTGGATGGAGTGTCAGACTAGCATCTTGGAAGGCCAGGTCTGAATCCCCACCTCTACCATGGAAGCTCACTGGGTGACCTTGAACCCATCATAAACTCTCAGCCTGGTGTACCTTTACAGGGCTGTTGTGAAAAAATGGAGGAGGGGAGAACATATACTTTTCTATGTGAAAGCATGTCCTTTTATCAACACAGTAATGCTATGAGGTAGATTCAGCTAAGAGAGAGTGACTTTAGGAAGTCCATACATCCTCTCCCCTCACGAAGGGCTGCTAAATTTAACCTACACACCAGAGCATCTTGCTGAGCTTCTTGGGCCTCCAGGACTGTTCCCCTAGCCTGACTCCTTCAGCAGATCTATAAAGAGGCAGATGAGAGGTGTGCATATGGATTCCACAATATAGAAACCAAATCTTGGTTTGAGCTTCCAAAAAAGCAGGTAAATCAGGATTTACAGCAGCTGCTTATTTTTCCCCACCTACTTAGTATTCACACTTCTATAGTGCAGGGCCTTTTGGCGGCCTGCCAGTTCAGACATCACACCAAACCATAGTTTGCATACTCACTTCAACCCATGGCTTCTGATTCTGGTTTGCTGGCCAATCCCAAACCATGGTTTATTGATTTAGATGTCACGCCAAAACATAGTTAAGCCTTTCCAGCTGTGGTTTGATGTGAACTGAGGCATTCTTTTTTTAAAAAACCACAAGCTATCAAATCACTAGTCAAAAGATCCACACATGGCTTTTTCTGCTGCCTGACCCATCTCTCTTCAAATACGTACCGACTTCAGCACTCTGCAGACTTCTCTCAAAACAGCTTCCACGTTCTTCACTGAACACAGGACCAAAGTAGAAACTACGACATCCACAGAGGCATCAGGTACCTGACTCAAGGCCTCTCCTGAGGTTGTTATGAACTGGCCGTATTCAAGATGCTTGTTCTGGACCATGCTTTTAGCTAGACGCTCCTGAAAGTGGGGATTAGGGTCCGTACAGATGACTCTGCAGTTGGGTGGAAAGAACTGGAAATTGGAGCCCGTCCCAGTGCCTATCTCCAGCACTGTCAGTTTCCCTGAGGGATCTGCAAATTCCATCATGTTACGGAACAAGTCCTGTTTCTGTCTTAACATTTTCTGGTTGTAGTCGACGGTAAATTTCTCCAGGAAAAAGGGAAAGAATTTTTTTTTGCAGAAGGGCTCCCATATTCCCAAATACGATAGTACATATATAGGCAGGGCTAGCAACTGGACGCAGAGCGTGAGAAACAAGACCACCACCTCTGCCATCCTTACTTAGATGCAGAATCAGCACCCTTCGTTTTTGTTTTTCCTTGAAGTTCAGGTCACAGTAGAGAAGCTGCTGAAATAATTTTGAAGTTCTAGTTTAGGATTCTGCAAAAAGTTTAGTACTCAAGTTTGTTTTATTCATCACTTCCAATAAAGATCCCAGGCAAAATAATAATAAAATACTAAACAGTTAGCAACTCACCAGCTTCACAGTCTTGCTTCAAGACTCAAACTGCACTCACTTCCTGATTCTTTAGAAACAACTGAGACTGCTAGACTGATTGCATCTGAGTGGAAGAGGGGTGGGATGGGAGAGAAAGCTTAAAAAAAAATTTCCCTTCCATTTTTTTCAGCTCAAAACTGCCCTGCCCAAGTTGATTTCTCACATGTACCTTGCCTAAAAAGAAAAAAAAAGTGGCTGCATCTGAGTGGCAGAAGGGTGGGGTGTGCGAGGTTGCTTAACTCTTTCTGGTTGTTTTTTTGCTCAAAATTGCCCTACCCAAGTTGGTATTTTCATGTGTATCTTCCCTCCCCCTTCCAGGACAACATCACCAAGGTTTTATTAAGGCTAACTGGTGTGGCTAGTCCAGTCACCATTAGTTAGCATAGTGCTTAAACGCAGCAGCATCACTTTACCAGATTATTCAGCTTACAAAACTACACAGAGCCACACTGCAAGTTTAGAAGAGAAATACTTTTGTCTTTTTTTGAGAAGTACACTTTGGATAGGAAAGAGCAGAGTTTGGATAGATTACTAACTTACTAGCTAAAGGATGGAAGCAGATGGTGAGAGGCCCATCTGCCTCATGGTGCCAAGAGAGGACCGCATGTCCCTCTCCTGGTGCATGCAGGTAAAGAGCTTGACTTCAACAGAGTAAGAGAGAAGAAGGAAAGGGAAATGATCCCTGAGAACACAATCTGCATTTCAAATGGGGGAAGTGGCAGAAGAGTAGATACAGGAAGAAAGGTCAGTGTGCCTATCTATCTAGTCTCTCTTGCCACTCAGTCTGGAGGTCTGAGATAGGGAACATCGCATCTGGAACTTCCAACAACTTTTGTGCAACTTCACTTCAGCCCAAACCTTCAGATGTTGCAAAATGTGGCAGCCTGTTCCTTCTCAGAAGCTAGCTGCAATGACCATGTTACTCCTATTCCGATGTCCCTGGAGACTCGTAGGGATACCAGCAGGCCTGGAGAAAACCTAGGGTTGCCAGCCTCCAGGTGGGGCCTGGTGATATCCCGCTTTTACAACTGATCTCCAGCTGACAGAGATCAGCTCCCCTGGAGAAAATGGCTGCTTTGAAGGGTGGACTCTGTGGCACTGTACCATGCTGAGGCCCCTCCCCAAATCCCACCCTCTCCTGGCTCCACCCCCAAAGTCTCCAGGTATTTTCCAACCCAGATGTGGCAACACTAAGAAAACCGTGTCCTGTCTTTTTAATAGAAGCTTAAGGAGCAGCTGAAGCTTTTCATGGCCTGGAGGTAAACAACATGCCCTGGTAAGTAACATCCCATTAAGTATCTATTTAAGGGACAGGACTAGTTGTCTTTCTCCTAGGGATACCATTCCCTGGGTGGGGGCGGGGGATGCAGCCTTCTGCCTGCCACTGGCCCGATGCCATGTGTGACATGCTGATGTCACCTGGAAGTGACATCAGCGTGTCGGTGATTGGGGGGAACTCTGCTTTTTGGGCAAAACTCTACGGTTTGAGGCCATTTTTACCATAACCCAAAAAGCAGAACATCACCCTTGACGTCGCCGATGTGCTGACCTTATTTTCGGGTGATGTCAGTGTGTTGTACGGTGTCCCCGCCCACCCCCAAAATGCCTCCCAACCCCCCCCCGCTGGCATGACAAGGGGACCTTTTTTGGGCAAAACTCTACGGTTTGAGGCCATTTTTACCATAACCCAAAAAGCAGAACATCACCCTTGACGTCGCCGATGTGCTGACCTTATTTTCGGGTGATGTCAGTGTGTTGTACTGTGTCCCCGCCCACCCCCTGGTTACTTTTCGAGTCCTCGTGACCAGAGGCCCACAAACATGAAGCACATATACTGCTATCGCAATCATCAGCCAGAATCAGAGTTAATGGATTTAACTCTAACTTCCATCCCACACGGGGAACCCGTTAAGGATGCCCACTATCTCCGCTGATTTTTGCGTTAGCAATTGAACCACTGGCAGAAGAACTAAGAAAAGAAACAGAGTTTTTGGGACTGACAACTGATGGTACAGAACACAAGATGACGGTTTATGCCGATGATCTCACGTTATATGTCTCTAATCTAGTAAAGTCTATACCAGCTATTAATAAAATCCGAGAGGGTTTTGAAAGAGTCTCGCGCC